CGCAGCCGCCGGTTCCGTTTCGCCGCCGTGCTGCCCGAGGCGGCGGGGCAGGCGGCCGTCTACCGGGCCTGCGTCCAGCCGCTGCTGCGGGCCTTCTTCCGCGGCTTCAACGCCACCGTCTTCGCCTACGGGCAGACGGGCTCCGGCAAGACCTACACCATCGGGGAGGCCAGCGTGGGTGAGTCGTGGCACGGCCGGCATCGCCGTCCCACCGGCGGCGTTGTCCCACCGGCATCACCATCACTGCGCTTCCCACCATCCCAACCCCACCGGTGCCACATGGCCACCTCCCTCCGTCCCAGCCATCCCTCCCAACCCACCAGCCTCACCGATGCTGCCCTCCCCACCCAGCTCCTCAGCTTGGCCCTCGCTGCCCAAAACCCGCCAACATCACCATCTCCATCACTTCCAACATCGCCATCTCCATCACTTCCAACATCACCATCCCATGAGTCCATCCACCCTGCCCTCCCTCTTGATCCTCCCAACCCCCCTAACCCAATCCCACCAACCCAACCACCCTGCCCACCCCAACAGCCCTTCCTCCCCACCACCCACACTGCTGTAACCAACCCCTCAGGGACAACACCACCTTTGAGGTCACAACGCGTAGGTTTTTCTCCTTCTCTACCCCTGGGGGACAAGTGAGAAGATCACATCTGCTCTGGAGGTGGTGGTGATCTTTCTGATCTGCCTTGAATCTATCACCTTTGTCCTGAAATTAGGCCTAAACAGAGGAAGGTTTGCAGGCATTGATCTTTGCAGGCATTACATGAAGGAGATGAGGAAAGAGAAGACCTTTCCCTCCTACAAGCACTGGTTTAATGGTCTTGTATCTTACAGAGGATGTTCTGTAAACGTTTCAGTCAGCTTCAGTTAATTGCATAGTTTGTAAACACTAAATTGTTTCCATATTTTCAGTCTACCTCTCTTTTGGAGTTCTCAGTTCAGGCTCTCGTTGTGCCAAATTTGGGGGCTGCCCTTTTATATGGCTGTTGGAGACAAAAGCAAAACCATTTAAAGTTCAGCCAGCAGAGTGCTGGGGCCAGGTACAAGCAGGCTGTGGGACACAAAAAAAAAAACCAAACCAAACCCTTCTGAGAGCTGGGAAGAGTTGTGGAGTCGTGGTGGGTTCAAAGGACAGCACGCCTTAGCTGCAGGCACGGTGTTTGCTACCTGCTGAAACCCTAACATGCCTTCTCCTTCTTGAGGAAGGACTGGAAACAAGCAGCGTTGCTGGAATCCAGCACAGCGGTGGGAGAGGAGTTGCCCCAAGGTCCTGTGGTGTAGAAACACTCAGCGGGATGTTTGATCTGGGCTGCGAGGGCTGAGCTGCGGGAGGGTTGGGAGGCTGCTCCTTTCTAGCTGACCTTTCCAGCTCCTGCCCGTGGCTCTGTCCTGGGCATTCCCTGCTCCCCATGACCACGTCCATCTCTCCTCCAGCTTCCATCAATGAAGATGAGCAGGGCATCATCCCACGAGCCATGGCTGAGACCTTCAGGCTCATCGATGAGAATGACCTGATCGATTACACGGTCCGAGTGTCCTACCTGGAGGTGTACAAGGAGGAGTTTCGGGACTTGCTGCAGGTGGATACAGCCAGCAAAGACATCCAGATCCGGGAGGATGACAAGGGGAACGTTGGTATGTGTGGCTGTGCACAGGCTCCCCTCTTGTCCCTGTGCCTGAGGACGAGGTTGGGTTGTCTATACCTGAAGGCAGAGCCAGGTCTTCTCCCTCCATCCCTCTGTCCCTCTCCTGAAGCAGATTGTTGGGCTTTGTCCTGTCCTCTGTAGAAAACCAGTCTGTGCGTGGCACGGTTCGGGCAGGGTGATGGCACCAGGCTGTGCAGAGGAGCTTTGTCCTCAGGCAGCCTGTCCCTCCCCGTTTGCTGTTGCAGTGCTCTGCGGTGTGAAGGAGTCAGAGGTGGAAGGGCTGGACGAGGTGCTGAGCCTGCTGGAGATGGGGAACACGGCCAAGCACACGGGAGCTACCCACGTCAACAGGCAGTCGAGCCGCTCGCACACCATCTTCACGGTGACCATGGAACAGCGGCGCGGGGCCGGCCGCCTCCCCCTCCACCACCACCCCCCCTCCGTCCCCGCCTCGGGACAGGTCCTGGTTTCCAAATTTCACTTTGTGGACCTGGCGGGCTCGGAGCGAATTGTGAAGACGGGAAACACCGGGGAGAGGCTGAAGGAGAGTATCCAGATCAACAGCGGCCTCCTGGCCTTGGGCAATGTCATCAGTGCCTTGGGAGACCCTCGGAGAAAAAGCAGCCACATTCCCTACAGGGACTCCAAAATCACCAGGTACAGCTGGGAGGGGGATCCCCACGTCTCACAGGCTCTTGGTCCAGCAGGAGGGAGGTGATGCTTCTCCCTGCCTTTCCCATGCCCAGCCTGCCAGGCTTGGGGGCAGAGTCCCCAGGCTCACCAAGAGGAGCTTGCAGGGTCAGTTGTTCCTTCTGCTGTCACACCAGGGCTCTCAGACCAACTGCTTGATGGTACAGGGCCAGTTCACCCACCGGGCCTCCCAGCAGTTTACAGGTCTACCCTCTCTGCAGGTCTTCATGTGGGGAAGTGGTTGAGTGGCACCATCCCTGGAGGTCTTCAAAAGACGGGGTTGACATGGTCCTCAGGAATATGGTTTAGTGTTTTTTTTATTGCTTATTTCTTATTTATTTTCTTGTCAGGGTTAGGTTGATTGTTGGACTAGATGATCTTTAAGGTCCCTTCCAACCTAGATGATTCTATGATTCTATGAAGCATGGGCAGCAATGAGACAGGACAGAAATGATGGACTAGCTCATTGCAGTGCTGCAGAAGTTGAGGATCACATAAGTCATGCTGCTGAAGCTGAGATGGGGGGTCACCGTGGGTCATCCTGCCCCTCCTGCCTGGCAATGAATAAAAAATGCTTCCAGTAGGATTGTTTGATGGTCTGCAGTTAGTTTGTAACTTGAGCAGGTGGCCTTAGGCATCTCCAACAGCTTCCCGTGCAGCACATGCCCAGCAGTGATTGCAGAGTCAGATTGCCATTCATTCCAGAATGGAGTCAGGGAGCTCCCAGCCTCAGGAATTTTTCGGATCAAAACTTAACCACAGTGCAAAGTTATTCCTCAGCTTGATGAGGAATCATTAATGAGGAACCAGCTCACTTCACTGGTACCGAACCGGCCACAGAGCAAGAATATCATTTTCC